CGCGCCCGGTTCTCCCGCCTGCGCCCCGAACCCGCGTCCCCAGCTCACTCGAAAGAGGCCGGTGCCAGCCATGAGCCTTTTGTTCTGGGACCGCTCCGCGTTGGCCGCGCTCTCCCCACCCGGAGAAGCTCGCTCCCCAGGCGCAGCCCGGTCCCTTCCCCAGCTACCTGCAGCCCGGCTGGGGCCGCTTGCTCGGAGGCGGGGGAGGCGGCTGGAGAGAGACGCCACGACCCCAGAGGAAACTGGAGTTGCCAAGACCTAGCGGCCCCGGGAGCCGGGGGGCCCAGCCCGGGCAAGTGCAAAGGAACCCCACACATGTTCCCGGAAAGAGGCTGAACCTGGCGCCTCTCCCCTACCCCAGCTCTCACTGAAGCCGCACGGGGGCTTTCCGTGAGGCCTCGATCTCCAGAAGAGCCAGGTGGTGCTGAAATGCACTCGAACGAGCCACTCGAAGTACCAATATGAATGACGCTTACAAATTATTTCGGCTCCTAGCAACAGAGACTTGCACATAGTAGATGTTCAAGAAACACTCGCTAAATGAAGGCATAAGCTGCATGAAGTAGTGTTGGACAGAAAGTAGTTTAAATTCCTGTCCATTCACTGTCCACTCGACCTGTATCTTAAGCCCCTTCTATGTGCCATCACTGTGCTAGGTGCTGGCCGTGTGGCAGAGACCGGCACAGGTATGGACCTTGCTTCCGTGGGTCTTACTGTCGAGTGCCCACGAAGTCCGGTTAGATTTGTCGTTGCCCTTAATTATGAACAAGAAAGTGACTACCAGGCTCATTCCCAAGGCTGCCTGCTACGGTCCTGAACCCCTACGTTGGCGGTTGCCACTCTAGGGCACCTTGAGGCCTCTGGGAGCCCTGTTTCAGCAGCGTCCTTCCCATCCCCCGCAGTCACATCCAGGTTTCCGAGTCCCAGGGCAAGATCCACAGAGGTCCACTGTCATCTGTGGGAAGGGCTGGTAAGTGCTTTGTCACTGACCCTGCAGGCTGCTGGGACTGGACTCCTGAGTTCAATGCAGACCCCATCCAGGCAAACCTGGTCCCGGTCTGATGGCAGTACTCTGACCCCTCAGCCCTTTGGGAAGACACAGGTTCCCAAGGCACTTAACAGCCACCTTCTCTGGGAGTCCATTTCCACACTTTGTTTCCCTCTACGAGAAGTGCAGGAGGATGGATGAGACACAGAAATCAGACAAACAAGGAATTTCTGCTTCTCCAGCCACAACCCCAGAAAAATTCTGTCCCCAAACCCGAAGTGAGCTGCTTCTAAGCTCCTGAAACAGCCTTCAGAGGTTCACTCTGCCCTCTCCTTAACGGCTCACAGGCAGGAGGGCTCCAGCCCAGTCACTGCAATGCAATGTTTTCCTCTGCATCTGAGTCAGAGAGAGGTGCCCCCAGAGAAAGATACCCTCTCTCCCAAAGCCTCTGAGAATAGGGAAGAAAGACTGACATGTATCAAATGGCCCCTCACAGCCTCATACTTCTCTGTATTTATCTTCCCTGTGTCATGTTGAAGAAGCTCTAACCAGCCTCATTTTACAGATGAGAAGATCAAGGCCCAGAGAGGTAAAGGAACACACCCAAGGTCACAACACGGAGATTCTAACCCAAGGGAGCTCATCTGGTCCCTGCACCCATAAATCTGACCCTGAAGCCGTCAGATAGGATCTTTGGGTCATGAAGATCTAAATACTCTATTATCTAGGATCCCAGCCCTTCCTCCTTTGCAAAATGAATTGGGCTACCCTGCTGCCCTGAGGTCTACATCAAGGAATTAGTTTAATATCCAAGGCAAATTCCCCTGGCGCAAAATGTAGCCCTAGGGTGCATCATTCAGTCAATCAACAAACACGTATTGAGCAGGTCTTATGGATGAGACAGACTGGAGATTTCCCTCAGAAGTTTCATGGGGCCCTGGGAGAACCTTGCCCCAGAAAGGCATCAGCAGGACCGTTATTTGGAGGCTTAGGCAGGTTTCAGATGGACCTGCTGGGGTGAAGGAGTAGGATCAGGGGTCTGAAGTGCTTGATGTGGGTTGAAGACTTGCCCTAGTCACAGGCCCTTAGGATCTCTCTGCTAATTCACCGCCCCCTCCACCCCCCACCCCAACCTCTGGGGCTTTCTCTTTCCTCCACTTTCACTCTCCCTTCTCAGTATGTGGACAACACAAATGGGGGAGGGGTCCACGAAAAATTAAGTAAATAAGTAAGTAAGTAATGCCAGCACAACCTCCCCAAATGCGCCTGACACCAAGCCCCGCTCCTAAAGTGCGCATGTGGAAAGGGCTGGAGGGGCTGGAGGGTGTACAGGAAGAGCCCCCCCCCCC